GTTTGGATAAGACACGCGTGCAAAGGCATTGCAGATAATGGCGAACATTTTTTATGTGCTTACGGGCTGGTTGTTGCAAAGCTGATGAACCAGGCCTTTGCTATATGGCGTAGGAAGCCGAAGGGATTTCGAAGAGCCAATGCCCCATACACGATCAAGCACAGGAAAAAGAGGACACCGATACCCGCCGTCACCGTAAGGACAAACATTCCCAGTGCTGCAAAGGCTGATGCAATATCGCTGACATTCAGTATGGCGGCGGCGATCATGAAAGCAACTCCGACGGGTGTGCACCTGAGCAGATTGAAATTTGATGTTTACTATAAGTTGAATCCGAATGTTTTGCATCACTTTATTCGAGGCTATTTCAGTGTTTGCGACCATAAATCGGACTCACTGCAAAAACACTCGCACGAGTTTGAGAACGACATCAGAGACGGACTGAAAGAAGTCCAAAAAGGGCTTCCCAGCCTCCCCGGCCTTCCTTGCCGCCAGGCCGAATGCGATGGACGTGAGAAGGACGCCTGAAGGATGCGAACAAATTTCATATTGATTCAGAAAATGCGGATAAACGGAGTCTTTTTGAGAAGGGATTTATAATTCGACTGCGTGATTACACATAAATCCCATTTTTCGTCTAAATAGATCCCTCTGTTTAGGGCCGCACCAGATGATTCAACTCTGAATAGGACTGACTCTGCAAAAGTGTCCACTACAAGGGCAGAATTTTATCAGATATTCTTTTCACTGAAAACACTGGTTAACTCCATCTGGAGGTGTAGAAACACATTGTAAATTGTCCTCAAACAAACAGAATTAAAAACCCTCAGCTTCACACATAAGCACGAACATAATATGGGAAGAAACAATATGATGAACTCATATTGGCCCAACTGTGAAAAACGCTGCGCCTCGGTGGGATCTGAATCCACGAACTCAGGGGTAGGGTTTAGTACAGCCAACACTTTAGCCACCTGAGCTGGGAGGCCCCATCCGAGGGCGTGAGTGTAATCACATTTGGGTCAAGTTATCCGCCCAAATTTCCGCAGCTTCAGCTACTGTATCCGATTTTGTGGACTCCAGACATAGCAGTAGGTCGTGGGTTAAATCGCACCGAGACGCCGAGTTGTTCACAGTCGGATCAATGTGAATTGTTCGAAATCTGCCAAAACAACTATGAATATGATTAACGCATTAATTACGTACCGATCAGATCCGTGGAGTATTCGTTAACTGCTTTGGAATACCTTTCTGATTTATTTGGATATTTCCAGTAATATTCGGTTTTCGTCTAAAAGTTTACGCAGATTCGTCAGTTTGCAGAAGGAGGACTTCTACTTAGATTGTTATTTGCCTCTAGCAATATCAGACCCTTGAAAATTACTTCTTAGCAAAAACAGGAGATCATTAAGGAGTAAAACGTCCTTGTGAGGGAACATACCACTGGAAGGCTAGGAAAGTTTTGTTCTCAAAATGTTCTCAGTTACCTGGTATAGGCACATTCCAACAATGTTGTTTGGGAACATGTTCCTGGGGAAGTAAAAATGTTGGAGCACATGTATATTAATGAACTATTCTGTCTTTTTATAGTTCAATGTGTTACTTTACAAAGGATTCGTCGATTTCGATAAGATGTTTTAAATATAACATGCAAACCGAAATATCGACACAGAAACATTGTATCTCATGCATCAAGACGTACAGAAGAAGGTCAGAAAACACGTCTGACGTTGTAAGTGTTAGTCCTGGGTCCTGAGTCGACGTTGTCGATGTTGTCATGTTTACGCCAACGCCTATTGATAAATTGAACGGGCATAATTGAAAGGCAAAAACTGCTACCTAACGCTCTGTCTACTAATATGAAAACCATATCTTCAAATTAACTATGGGAAATTAAGTAATCCTCAAAGAGGGGCATTCAAACCGATCTCTTCTTTGCCCAAAATCAACGGACATTCTGTTCTCTCAACTTTGCACACTAAAATATAGGCTCTTTTTAGATAGGCATTGTAATAACCTTCGGAAGCCTTCTTACCTATATCTAAGGCTCACATGACTGTAAAAAGTGCCGATGTTTTCAAAAAATGTGTCGGGATCCTTAAATTGGTTATCAAGCGAAAAAGCTAGTTTAAATAAAATTGTAAATGGGATTATAATGGCATACGCCTTTAGGTTACTTTGTACACTACGGGATGCTGGTCATCGGCAAAGCAAGTTTTCAGTTTACCGCCTAAATTACAGTCAAAACTGCTACGTAATTGACGTGTACTTTTAACTTCCATTTCCGGCTATTTGCTAAGTTTGAGCAAATCTTTACAAAGTATTCATAATAACTTCATTTACTATGTCCTTTCTGTAACTTTTTTCACAAAAGTCACCATAGAGGAACATTTAGGGTTCAAAAGGCAATTACTCCCGGTGTACTGTGGAGCTCAACCAGTCTTTTCGAATGTGCTTTGGGTTTTTAAGCCGCATTTTAGACGCATTCGCCCTAGCGTATATTTCACCTCCTACGTAATTTATGAAGAAATTTAGTAACATCCAAAAATAATGACATGCATGCTGAAAGACGGGCATTCCTATAACTGCAAGTTAAATTAAATATCACTCTTTTAAAAATGCAAGGTTTACTGCACACAAATGTAAAGCCGTGTATCTGTTTATATTCGAACTTTCAGCAAATCTTCAAAGGGATTAACACCTCAGTGTCGAATACGAAGTTAATAAATATCTGCAGGTTCCGGCTTTATGCATCCAGTATATACCACCCTTCTCTTTAGAGAATCTGTCGACTTCTTCATCCCTCTCAACTTTTTTCTGTACGCACCAACCGGATCGATATACCGATTGATTTATATTTCGTCTGAATATGTGTATTCGAGAAATTATAGACAATTCGGGGAGAGGCAGACACCAACAGTGCAACTTCGGTTCCACGAGAAGGTGCATTAAGAATTAGAGACACGCATGGCCAATTTGGTCGGGTGCCATTGCTCCCCTATTGCCGGCCTCAATTTTAAGGAAATTGTTTAAACAAACGATGTAGTTATATTCATAACTTTCGTGGTCAGGATAAGCGTTTTTTCACTCTTAAGTAGATCGTCGACTGTATTTCGTTTGTGAAATAAAAGATCGTTGCTCTTGTAGGTTGGGATGGCTTTTGTATGAGTTTGATGCTGTAAACTGTCGAATGTAATGTTCCATCCGCCCTGCTCTTTATGACTATATTTAAAAGCTAAAGACTTTTTCAACTTCTGCGACGGTAAATTCCAAAATTTCGAAAACGTTTTCAAATGACAATGCAAACAGACATTAAATAATTTAGCGCAAAACAAATTAAATCTATTCTATCTATTTTTCGCATCGTGATTTCAGGAAGAAAGTCACAGATATGCAAGAACACAGAATTACTCTTTAGTCCTTTTTATCAAATCCGAGGACGAAGTTCTCGTGATCATCCACTCGGACTGAAATTGCATCAGTCGGCTCTCGATTTACAGTAGGTGGGCTAACTCATGAAATGTCAACAGGAATTCCGAAAGGAGTTTTCGTTTAAAAAAACAATAAAGCAGGGCTTAATAACTAGTTAGCATGCAACATAATTCTATAATATTTCAGTTACCTCAGGATGCCTGCACTCGAACGAATTCCTTTCCGGCTGCATGCGAAAGCAACAGTGTAAAAAATGACTACTAAGACTTTTTCTTCTTGATTCTCGTTTTCCCTAAATGTCCAATTATATGTCATGGAAAACATTGATAAAATATTAGTTCTTTTGCTCATTCAGTAGAAATTTACGTCTTCTTCCAATCTTCCACTCAAAAGGAGAGTATAATTCGGTTTTTAAAAACTTTTCCAATCCACGAATAATTTTGAACCTGCTCTACCGTTACAGTTGGGTTCAGGGTTTCCAAACTACAAGCCGCATCATTTCCGCGTACAGAAAACCATACATTTCTCTACGGTACTAAAGGCGGACTATATAGGGTTCATAAAATCTAGCAGTGGATTTGATCCATATTGTTAACTGTACAAGCCACATTGGTAAATGCAGTGACATGGTGATTTATGAACGGCCATTTCACAGTATTTAAAAGTCGCGCAATTGAAAACTTTTTTGAAACCGAATTATGTCCCTCCTTCGAGTAAAAAATTGGAAGAAGACGTAAGTTTCTACCGAATGAGCAAAAGAATGAATATTTTATCCATTTTTTCCTTGACTTATAATTGAACATTTAGGGACATCGAAAATCAATGAGAAAAATTCTTGCTACTTAAGCAATCATCTTTATATAGTGTAGTTTTTGCATGCAGCCGGAAAGAAGTTCGTTGGAGAGCCGACATCCTGAGTTAACTGAAATATTATAGAATAATGTTGCATGCTGACCAGTTTTTCAACCCTACTTAATTAGTCTTTTCTAAACGAAAACACACTTCTAATTCCGTTAACATTTCGTGAGTTAGCCCACGTACTGTAGATGTTTCGTACAAAAAATATCAAGGATGAGTGGGAGACGCTGGCCTATCTGATAAGGATGACAGTTTAGGGTAATACGGCCCCACTCCGAGCGACTGCCACAACGCTGCCATTCCCAGGAGTACTTGCACGTGCGCAGCAGTGGTCGTCTCGCTCACGGCCATACATGGCTGTGCAAATCGGCCACTCCTATTCCAGGCCGACTCGGGCGTGTTCTCGCTCCAGACGCTGTGACGCATTCCCCACTATCTCTCGGCTCACCGCTCTCACGGCGCCGGACGAGTTTTCGTCCGACTGTCAAGTTATTCTAACCGGTCCTCAAATCTTTCTGTAAAGAGTACGGTGTCCTCACAACTAGCGTTCAAACCTCTTCCTAATCGGGACCGGCATGAATGTCGTGGTGGTTACGTCCTGCTTATGGCTCTAGCAGCCGCGACAAGGGCAAACGATTCTTGATGCATAAGCACGCTGACGTAAAACCTAGGCACGTCTAAATTTTTATGTCCTTTTTAAACTGTTTTGCACAGGTGATACGTGTGACGAAGTGGAAAAAAGTAACCGGTGTAGATGTTTTATTGAATCCAGCTTCTTTTTTACTCAAAACTCTTTGACTTCAATATACACGGCTGCATAAACCTGGGTTAAATTTCTGACTTAAAAAACAGTAAAAAACAAAACATATTCCAGGATATGAAATAGTATCATAATCTTGAGAGGATAAACTAGAAAAATGTACACCTGTCTATTAGGATAAATTTAAGAGACATAACGTGCTATCAGATATCCACTCATAATGAGTTTTAAGAAACGTATTCTTAAAAAAATAAACAATGCAATGCTTTAAATGAACTGCGCTTTGTCGTGGTGTGGTGTACGCCGTGTGTATACAAGTGCACGACTATATGCCATCGTGCTGCTCCATTGTGGTCAGTATTGCGAAGTGGCATAAATGCATTCTGCCCTTGGAGACAGACTGAACGATTCTGGTCCGTGCTTTATGATTTTTAGTGCGAATGGGAGTTTCAGAATGCTTCAGATATGCGTTTAATGACGGTAACGCTTCTCTATTTCGGATTTCTCCTCACCAAGGGAGATTTTGCGAAGGAAGGATAGTAATGTAAGCAGACCTACGGGGTTACTGAACGCGGCATATTTCACGGAGGCCATGAAACTATAAATTTCGGCAGTTTTGCATCGACACTTATTCAGGAATTTTGTGTGGATGCTCCCAGTTTTATGTAGCAGAAAACATGTTTTTTTAAAAAAAACAGTTATCAAATTAGTCGTGATGGGTGAAAAGACACGCATAAATTTAAAAAAACAGTGCTACAGAAAGTGGACAAACCTGGCTTAATTAACGTAGCGAAGGCGGTACCTACTGCAGCCCCAGCAATATTAAAGCAGAGAATGTATGCTACTGTCAGCAGACTGCTAAGCCCCTGTTCCTTGGAGTCCAAAGACGAAATGACTAAAAGTAAAATAAGCGGAAACGAAATCGCATGTGTCAAGGTAAGATACTTTTTGCATGATTTTCGTAAATTTTCATATTTTTTGTTGCTTATGGACACGATCTCGGTCGGAATGATATAAAGAAAATGATATAGCCAGTAGAAGCGAAGAGATGCGTCCCAGGAAGCAGTCTTGAAGGAGACATGATCGCTGGGACAAGAGCTTTATTACCCTGACATTTCGGATTCCTGTTCGAACCCATCATCAGAGACAGAAGCATGTATGGGTGGTTCATGCACAAGGGGCTGCAGTATTTTTTGGATGCAGTCGTCATGCTACCGCATACCTATAAATATTCACAGCTCCCCCCTTCACCAGGGATCGTTGCACTTTGTGTGACGACTGTTTGATGGCCGACATTCGTGTCGTTAATGGCTGCAATCTCATCACGTGCGTTGAATGTTGGTGTTATGATTGCCCAACCATCTGACGCACCGACCCTGGTGCTGGGAAAGGTGCCCACCTGTGCGCTGCCCGCATGGTTAATTACTCCGCCTAGACGAAGTCTCAGCACGGAATATGGAAGGGGAAGGTCGTTGCACTTGTTGATGGACGGGGAGCCAGCAAACCATGACTTAAGCAGCTCCCGGCTCACGCGGTTGTCACCTCTTGTGAGAATTTCGGCCTCGTCGAATTTGAATGTGTGGCCGGATCTCGTCAAATGAGCCGCAACTTGAGAGCTGGCATCATTTATCCGCACCGCTGCAGCGTGTTCGGCCATTCTCGTTCAGAGCTGTCCTTCGGTTTCTCCGCGTTGCTGCTTTGTCCGCAATCGAACCAGATCCGATAAACGACTCCAGACGTTTCTTGCCGAGGCAAGTGCAACGATCCCTGATGAAGGGGGAACCGTGAATATTCATAGGTATGCGGTAGCATGGCGAGTGCATCCTATAAATACTCAGCCCCTTGTGCATGAACCACCCGTATTTGCCTTTGTCTCTGATGGTGGGTTGGAGCAGGAATCCGAAACGTCAGGCTAATAAAGCTCTTGTTCCAGCGATGGTGTCTCCTTCTTCGAAAATGGTATCATTTTCATGAAATTTCTAGGCTACAGGCAATTTTTGAAACACAGGAGAGAACGGCAGACGGCAAGATCTTATTAGGGATTGGGGATTAAGGGTCAGGGTTAGGGATTAGGCTGGGACTTGTCTAATGCAGGTACGGCTACGAAATAAGATCCGGCCCGGCAGATAATTAGGTCAGGGGTATTATCCTAATGTGCTTTAAATTTACTGGTTCGTCGCTTCGTAGCAAACTTTTGTCCGTTCACGGTCATAATGCCCACCGCCAGTTGGTCTTCGATAGTTCACGCATGAACATAAAGGAAAATGTGGACTAATCAGCAGCCCAGTATATCTTTGGATCCATTGTTTTTGAAGGCATTCATTACTGGTGACACGTTAGGATTAGAAGTCAACGGAAAGTCTGCAAGATGAGTTCAGATATGGCTCCCACCTTTATCGGTCCGTTGTTCCTTATCCTTAGGTACCATCGACTTCTCTTATCTTGATTATGATTACGAGACTGGCGTCTAAGCGCGAGACAACCTGGCATTTAATAAATTACACGAAGGCATGGATATTCAAAGAACACCGATCAGGATGCGTAAAATGATTAGCATATAGCAGATGACAACGATATTTTCCACAACACCTTTGAGGTGGAGGCTGACCAAAGTACCATAGTTTTGTTTTTAACATAGGAAAGACATGCTGAAAGTTTATATCAACCCTCTGTTTCTTCAGATGACAGGTTTTCATTCAGATTCAATGGAAGGAGATAAAGGAGAAGCAAAATCCAGTTTTCATTAATAAGCTAACTTACCGACAATGAGGTTGGAAGCGATAAGTGGTAGGATAGTTAGCTGAAGAAGTCGGATGTAAATGTTGCCCGGCATCGCTAAACATAGAGCAGACATTTAGGCCTAAAGAAGTAATTTCAGTATAATTCTAATAGCTCAGCTGACTATAAAAAATGAGGAGGCACATCCCTATTTGTGGCTGTTTGCTTTCAAACTCGGGAGAATTTCGAGTCACTAACATACGTGTTATTAGTTGCTACCATGAGTGCTATCTTCAATGTTTTTCTTCTACAAAAGCGTCCCGTCGCCTGAAGCTAAAATTTCCTCTGTTTTAACGTGTTTTGGCAAATCTGGAAACGATAACTGGTTCAAGTACCGCGACGCAGCTTTTGGTACAACCCACGTTAAACTAAGATAACACGTGGGCAAGGAGCGGTTAACATTGTTCTGAAAAACGCGCTATTCTTCGTCTCCTCTAGCATAAGTATCGGTTTTTCGGTCCATTGAAAACAGAAGAAACTTCAGATTCAAATGAATGCCTTATATTGCATAGGAAGAGCAAAATTTAGTTGGTTTTTTGAGTTGAATACAATAATTGGGCTTATTAATGGAGTTTAGAACGGGTATGATTGGGTGGTGGGGAATGACCAAATGGAGGAAAATCTTACCGATCCACACAATTGCCTCAGCAGAGGGTTTCAGCTCTCTCACGCCAAAACCAATACCAAATCCCACAACCACTCCAAGTAGGATGAAAATCACGAAAAGATTGTCGCGCAGGCAGCCCACACAACCACCCTTTTTCTCCTTCTGTGCTTTTAGCTCATCCTCAATGTCATAGAAGGAGACGGCTGAATCACCCTCATGGTCTGCATTCTTTGTGGAAGACATGGCGATCACTGATTGACAACCGGCGAGAGTAGTTGTTTGCAGCTTTTATATGCATCTCCCTGCCCTGTAATGTCGGAACGGGAGGCGGGGGTGTGCGTGCTTAAAAAACGGCCTTGACTTCGACACTGGCAAATGTCTTAGTGCTGGCCTTGTTGAGAGAACTCCCACCTCACCTGGAGTTTCAATCATCATTTCACTTTTGACGTTGGATTGCCAACTGGCGAGTTCTCTCCTGCATGATGCCAAGAGGGTAGATTCGGGAAATTTCTTAGCAGTCTCGATTCGCTGAATACAGTGCTTAGGCGGAGAGAGGCTCAGAGGCCGTGCATAACTTGAAACGAATTTACTCTAGTTGTCAAATCTTACAGACCTCTTGGAACAGTCTACAACATTGGTGTGTTCTTAAAAACGGTTCCATTAGTGAGCACATTTTTTTATTGTTTAACATGTAGGGAAGGATCTTATTTTACAACTCAGCTTAGGCGGCGTGAACAACTAAAGAATTAGTGGTGTGTTAGTAAGTTTACTTTGACAAGTTTTACGTTCGTTTTCGGGAAAAGCATAAATTTCACACAGAGTCTAGATGATGCCAGTCATACGCAATCCTGAATTGTGAAACACCTGGAGCTCGATCCAGCGATATGTTGATCAGAAGTCCAACGTCCCAAACCAATAAGCCATGGACGCGTTGTCCTGTCGGTTGCGATCCTACGCCCCAAAATTGCATGAAATGACGCCAGGATAGATCGCAGACATATCGCCATTCGTCTCTATTGGTCGAGGCAACTGATTTCAAATGTTTTTGTAATCCGCGCACACAATGATTGGCCTGGATGTTCGATATCGTCTACCGGGGGTATTTGTGCGACTGATCTTGGTAGAAGACGACCTTATATATCTTCACATCAGGTAAACTTCCATATAGACTGGAATATTAAATTAAAAATTCCCTAACCATTGTGAATTTTCCACACTGTATGTCCGGATTTTGCGACCTGAAACACAAACAGAATTCATAAAAATCATCTCATTAAGGCCGAGATTGTAAAGAAGAGCAAAACTGTCCATTTGCGGGCTAATTGCACAACACGTTAAATTTTCGTCCAGAAGGTCGTACCACTTTTGCCACTATTTTTTTCCTCTTCGAAACATCGACAGTACAATTAACGACACGTTTCCAAGATTGCAACATTTATTAACACAAGACACACTTTAATTCATACTAGACAACAATTTCCTCCACAATTCAGACCCCAAGTTGGTTGTATAAGACAACAGATCCCAGTAAAAGATGAACGGTAATGATCGGTTTACAAACAGCGAAAAACGCTGTAATTAAGAACATGATTTGACACCTCAGTATTGATGACTGAGAATGTGACAAACCCTATGACCTAGTTGTTAAGAACACACTGTGAAATCCCTGGTAGTTCGGGAGAAATGTTACCGAACATATTTGCGAGAGTCTATCAGGAAATTGTATGATTTCGGTGAGGTCCGGCGGTACAGTACACGGAATATCAAGCGATGTGCTCACCACTAGGAGTAATTTGAAGGTTTTTGAGTGTCAATCACCTGTTGTCAATCACTTAAGGTCCCTGTTTTGTGACAGTACCATGGTAGATGTTTTTTTTTGAATACTTTTTCAACATTTAAACTGTTATCGAACGCTCGTCCCAACGTCTTTTCTGAATTTCACTCTATCCGTAGCGTCCCTTGCGCTTCACACTTCACTTTTTGTCAGAAATTAGAATAATGTTGACAAAATCTGAGTGCAAAAAGGTACTGTTGCCTCTTATCCATCTGCTCCTTTTAAAAAAATGTTGAGAGGTTGTACAAAAACTAACATTCAAGTCAAATTCAACATTGATCCAGATTCCGGATGCAGTTTTGTTCTTGGATTTCGTTGAATGCTTATTTTAAACATATAAAAATCTGTATATCACTTAAACAGAACGCCTTTTCTACAGGACTCCGTTAGGGTAGTAAAAGAGGGCCCCGGAACAATCTCTTTTAAAAATTAAAATATATTTTTTCAACAAGGCCGAAAGGCGGCAGTGTCAGAAAATCACTCCACCACTGATTTGTGCATTTTACACTGTTACGTGAAAGTTGTCATTAGTGTCAACTTGCTTGCCAATTATATTGATAGAAAAAATTATTTAACATGCAATGGTGTTTGCTTTATTTCCCCTTATTGAAGTAAAGACGTTGCCAGCTTAGTGAAGCTGAAATGAAAGTTATTTTCAGATGAACGTATTGTCTTAATCTCGTAAAACGCGTTTGCCAAGAAGACTTATTATCAGTGGACATGTTTTTATACCAATAACCTATTAAAGGCACTAATTTTCCAGCTTCTGTTTATAAGAGAAAGAACAGGCAAATGCATAACATGGTGGTTTGAAATTTGAATAAGCTCACTAAATAGGTGTTTACATACGCATTCATGTGCTAACCCATGAGACACTGCCGAAGTCATGTTTATGCAGCCAGAAGGGAGGATTCTTCGGCCGGAACTCGTGGTAAGGCCTCATATTGCATGGAAGAGTGTTCGACAGTTCTTGATTCGGCCATGAGAAACATCGATAGGGTGCTGTGATGTACACGAACAACCATCAGCAGGTTCGTCAGCATGGAATCCCAAGAGAAGCACCATCATTATCAGCGGTACCTGGTATATATTCAGGAAACATGAGAACAGGTATCGGCGAATGTTACACTGTCGTTAGTCCCAGACTAAAGAGAATGCAACGCGTGTTCTTCTCTTTGCAGTAAAAATTCCTGTTGTCTACTTTGCCAGAAAAGGCCAGAGGAACAGCTGTGTATCCAAACACGTTTTATTCAGCTGTTTGGATTTCCGTAGAACGGACTCCTACTAGGATGGAAGCGACGCAGGTGCAGCATTCGCATAACTGAATTTCACTGATCAAACAGTGTCCATCCAGACGCTGGCACCGCTCCGAGGCACGAGCTCCGGATCAACTTGGCAGCAACGTTCACTGCCGAGTTCCATGCGGAACATCAATGTTGAGGGAACCTTGTAATCGTTCGTCTGCCACGTTAAAATGCTGCCTGTTTCGGTAGGACGTCATTGTCGAGACATCCGGGCGAACCCGAATCTGCACATATTTACAGTTCTAGAAAGCTAGCTCATGCGCCGCCATCTTGCAGGAAGTTCTAGAAGGCGTCCCCTATAGGTGCCAGAGCACCAAACTTTTCCGTATTTATACGACAGGTACTCAGTCGCAATTTGGCTTATTATAACAAGTATGCATATAATAAATTAATATGACCATAAGTTAATGAGAATAGCTCTAGCTTAACTTTGATTAACTCTCCTCCCTAAACCTATCCCCAACCAATCACGATGGCGGATTCAAGCTTGACGCTTTCAACCGAACAACTTCTGCCCGTAAAGAGGATGTTGAAAGAATTCCTCAAGTGGACGTTGGTGTTGACATCGACTTGCTGTCATCTGTGTAGATGTCAGTTCGAATATTATGGAAGCGCTTTGCTGAAAGTACTCAGGATGCTAGCTCGATTCCCACCTATGTTTAAACATACGACGGCTCTTAGCCTTCCGTGGAATCTGAACTCTTTCTTGGAGGTTTCAAGACTTAAAGACTTCAGTAGTGGTGAAAATGCGATTCACAGGCGTCAAAAAATTCAAACCAGTATCTACTCTGTCAATGCTGATCTCACGAGACCCTGCAAGACTGCGAAAAAAGATAAAATGAAAAAAACTCGAGTAATTTTGGATGTGCGGGAAGTTTCAAACCTATGGTAAACATGGGCTTTTTCGTATCTAGATGCGAAATCTAGGGGCTAAGTCTCAGCAGTGGGAAAACTGCCAGCAAGCATCAACTGGTGCCTTCTGGTGACATCAATGATAATTGCTTTATAGTTGGGGATTAGTTTGTGTACTGGGGAAGCATAGTTCTCTGAATAATCATAACAACGAATCCACACCCTTTTATCACTAAATTCAACCAGGCTTTCTTCCGGCAGCAATGGTCTGCAGGGATCGTGGGCGGTAGCCCACTCATCACATAGCAGAACATGCATTCACTTGTTGAATTAACCGTGCTTTCCCGCCGGCGCAAATTTTACAGGACAAAGTGGCTCTATTTCAGGTGTTTTCAGAGAACTGTGCAGGTGAAATCACAGTAACAGATCCTCGCCAAATCAGGCAGGTGACCAACGGCAGACTCCAATAAAGTAAGGATGGAATGTTACAGCATCAAACCGATAAAAATGAGCAAGTCCAAGCTTTTTCCACTAAACGCACACTTTCGAAGTCCAGATTTGTACTTTCGAACATTTCTTGTCCACTGAGACAATGCGAGAATTTAACGGTCGTGTCTGAAGATGTCCACCGTGTGCTCCACAACAGAGTGGAAGCATTGACTTTGACTTGCGCGTGACTTATTTTATAAGGATAGTGAACTTGCGCCGGATCTGCCGCACTACATCCTCCCCCACCTGGACCGGTGTCACGAGAGAGTCAAGAAGACCGGAGGCGGGAGAGGGCGCAGGTGACTGGCGTCACGAAAACCTATACTTAAACCAGCCACTACAACGGCCTGAATTCCACTTTGTGGGAATGCCATAGAGAACACATCAAGAAGGAGCCATTGCAGCCTGGCTGTCAGTCCACTAGTCCATCAATCAATACACGAACACGCCTGAATGGACTGCGTTGTCTGACTGGAATCGCCAATTGGTAACCTCCCAAGCCACGGTTTTTAGCGCACCGTAATAGTCCCAAACGCGTCACATTGTTTCTAGAAATAATTATGCGCTGAGAATCAAGCATATTTGCTCTCTCTTTTCCATGTACCAGCCCCAACTGCCTAGGCCAGTCAAGAAACTGATGTTGAGGTTGGGGAAGGTGGCTGCTAGGTCGTCTGTGAGGGTCACGCATTTGACCCGGCTCCCCATACGCACACCAGGATTTCATACACAAGAGCGTAGACCGTTCAGATTTCTCGTATAATGGA